AGAAATCCAGATGGAAAGTGAGACTGGGAAGAGGTACCCTTCCCTGGAGAGATGGGACCATGGGGCTCACCACCAGAGGCTCGGTTCATTAGAATCTCCTGGCAGTGGGACTGGCTGCAGAATGGAGCGATTGCTCTCACTACTGCCTCAGTTTCACAGACACGTCGTCCCAGAGGTATCACTGGGTGGTGATTCAGGCCACATGAATGTCATATTCTAGAATTCCAGAAGCCTGAAAGTAAATTTCTGATCCAAGGAGTATGTTTTAAAAATTCAAATGGACTTTGGGGAGCCACAACTTTTTGAACGGTTCCTCTTTTGCAAGCACAAGCTAATAACAGCAATCTGTGGTGTGTAGAAAGAAAAAAAACCAAAAAAAACCCACAAAGTTTCAATAACTGAAAATTAACATCTTAAGTCCCACCTGAAAATCAAAGGGAAAAAGGTTTGAAGTCTAGGTCTAGGTGCTAATGCAAGGAGATATAGGCTTTTCAAGGAGGCAAGATAATTAAGATAATTTGCCAGTGAAATCTTTTGAGATTCAACCCTGATATATAGTGCTGTAAAACAGGAAAGTAAATATGAGTCGAGAAATTTTCTGAGGAAACTTAATGGCAAGTAAGGATGCCAACATCTTAAATGGCATGAATTAAATGAATGTATTTAATACAATCTTAGCTTTTTAGTACATATGCTTAGATACAGGGATTTATTTGGGCAGGAAAATGCAGCTTGGAAAGACTGAGATTGTATATCTCAGTGACATTTGAAAAAAACTCACTGGTTATTTCTATGATTTGAGGCATTTCCCCTTCTTATACAAAGTATTGTCTTGAACTCATAAGCATATGAATCTATTTGACTATGCTACTGTTCAATCTGTCTGTTCATAACTCAGCCTCTTATTCCATTATAGTGCTTGAATGATTCACATGCAATGTTTCCAATCCACTTTTCCTATCTTGAGAAACTTTTTAACAAAATGTTAGCATTTGCAGGCACCAGATGTTTTGACATAAGGAGAAGTAATATGTAAATTTTAATCCATGGTAGGAACAATAGCCTGGAGGCATCTTCTTCTTATTACATGAATCATATACTTAACCACAATGTGGTGGATTATATCAAAATCATCACCACCCTGAATATAGAACACTTGTCTTGTGGTTTCCAGTTAATGAAACTGATATATATTTAACTTGATGGGTACCAGTGATTTAACCAATAAGCCTTAGCATACTTCACTGCTGCAGTCTCCTTTATAATTAGACTTTTGATCTGATTATTACCACAACTTCATACATTTTCCCCTAATCTCCCATTGGTTGTCACCACAAATGATGCTGACATTAAATCTGTTTGTCTGTCAGTTGAAAACTTCACTACTTTTATTCAAGAAGTGTTTCACATAGGGCTTTTATAATCTCTGAAATAACTTCTGATTCTATTTTCTGATGTTGTTTATTCAATCATTAAGTGTCTGAGTCCTGAACAGGATAAGCATTGGCTTTCTACAAAGCAAAGGGGGGATCTCAGTCCCTTCACAAAGGAGCTGAGTACCTTTTATGGTCAAATCCTAAGTACATAATAAATATGTAAAAAAGCAAAGCTTCTTTCCATAGATAATCACTGAACTTTAAATAATATTTATAATAATATTCAATTTTAATACTGGTGGAGTGTCTTAATGATTTGACAAAATAAAGAGACTGAAGAAATCTTTAGTACAAATAAAATGTTTATCTGATGTACACAAACAATGAGCACTATTTTACATGAAATGATAAACTATTACAAAACTATAGTTTATATTACTACTCAACAACTTTTACATCATTTCATGCACAGAAAGTACCAAATATCTTCTAAAGAAGGCAGCACTTTTGATATTAGGAATTCAAAATGAAATCCGAATCCTTACTTACTTCCTTAAGTGAGTATCTTTTAGTGCCAAATGCTACCTAATTATCAGCTTTAAAAAATGTTTTACATCTTAAAATACAATATTCTGTTTATCCTAGATTGTCTGGGGAACATCTAGTACATTAAAAGGTTTTTGTAGAGCTTCTTAGTGATTTAACTGATATCATCATGCCTGCTAGCAATTTTGCAACATTCTGAAACACTTTCCATAAATCAAAGCCTTAGCAGCAGGAATAAGCAGATGGCAGGAGACCATATTAAAGAATGTATCAATTATTTTTATTAATGGGATGCTACTGGATCATGATGTATCATAATGGACTAAATGTTTAGCAGTTGTGAAGTGTTTTGTCTGTTAGGTATCTCAGATGTTATTGGATGTTACTATATTGCCTTTTGGTGGCATTTTTGAGGGTCTGGACAGTGAAGTTCCACAAGGGACATATAAAAAGATGTTTTCAGTCTTTTAATTATATTCATACAATAAACAATAAATGCCAGCAAGTATAAAATGTAATTGTAAAAAGATTGCATATATAGTGTGTAATAAAGTACATTCTGTCTCCATACAATGACTTAGAAAACAAGATACTATATGGTTAACAATGAAAAATAGCAATTATTATAAAAATATTCTACAGTCTCATAGTAGCAATGTAAATGCCTTTACTTATCTAAGAAACTTAACATAATTTTAAATTACAATAATTTTACATCCTCCATTTATATATACAGTTCTATTAAATTCAGGAAGTATAATATCAATGTTCTTATTGAGATTAAGCAACTGAATTATATTTAGTTATTTTATTATATAAAGCAACTGTTCCTGTTTGTTAAAACTGTTTGCACTTACGGTAGCTATTCACACTATTCATGCTATGCACAATGAAATAATTTAGTTTTCTTTTCTTAGTATAGCATCTATGTCCATGAATTAAATAGAATGTTAATATTTCAACTCCCTTTCCTTTTGTGTAATTGCTGTTTTGTGGATTCTGTAGGAATATGTCCACCAGCTTTGAACAGCTGCTACTGAAAACAAGCAGTAACTCCTCAATTAATACATCTTGACAAAAATAGCCAGTTCTTCTACCCCCTGTCCTGCTTGAGGTCAAGATCTGTAAGACTTCAAACTCTTTTCTAGGCTCAGAGCCACAGGCATATTATGCATCTCTTTCATAAGATTTCACTAAATAGTTCTCTGCTAGAAAAAGCTAAAAAGTGTATTTTTCTTGCACCACAACTCAACCCAATAAAGCTTGCATAGACAGCAAAGAAATTCTGCCCAACAGAAAATGTCAGGATTTGTCCCTGTAGCTGTGAAATCCCTTTCCTCTGCAGAAGCTGGTAGGATTGGGCTTGCCTCTGCCCTAGAAGTCCTATCAGCTTCACAGCACCATTTCCAAGACTGTGGTGGGAGAGGGAGTGTTTATTCCAGAAAGTTTGGGATGTGACTGCCAGCACATGCATCTCCTAAATACCTTCAATAGCACCTATTAATCCCCAGAATGCCCTAGTCTGGTTTTGCAGTCTGTACTACCACTAAATTTCAAGGGTGAACCTGTAATCCAGGCCATAATTATTAACTGAAATACTAACTGTGATGACTTCCTATTAGCAAAAATGCAGTGTTGGTGAAATACCAGAAGGATTGATGCATTTATTGTTTTGGGAAAGGGAGCTGGAGGTTTTGTGTGAAGGAGGACAGCTTGTGTATTTTTAATGATAGATACAATACAGTGCCTTACAAAAAGAGCTTTGACTCTCTTAAGTTTCTCATGCAAGAAGAGAGAAAAAATCTGGTGTTTTAGACTGAAGCAATTGTCAGAAGAATGAAAATCAACATTAAAAAATTTAATGGATGCACTATAATGTTTTTTTAGAACAGTGCTTATAAAAGTGATGAAATTCAGGATTTTATTTAAAGTCAGTATAGTTCAGAAGTATGGTCTAACTCACATGTAAAAGTTCAATGGGAAAATCATGTAATACATTCATATTTAATTTCTTTTTCTCCATTATGAGCAATCCACACTGGTGTATTTAAAACTAATGTAGTAGAAACTGCAGTACAAGGACAAATGGCATTTGATATCAACCAAATAGCCCTTCCTTTCATCAGCTGAAATGGACAATATTCATACTATGCTGGACATAATATGGGCATAAAGGTTACTTTTAATTCATCATGTTTTGTATTCAATGTCAATATTAGCAACTGTCTTTGACAAAACTATGACAAAGTGTTTCCTCTTTTAATTAATCCAATTAAAGTGGTGGTCAGTCCTGTATCCAGTTATCTTTGGTTAACACTTCTTTGTCTTTCTGATATGCTACAAAAACAGAAAATCCCCAACCAACCAAAAAAACAAAAACAAAAAAAACCCTAAACAACAACAACAAAAAAAATACAAACAAAACCACCAAAATAAAACAAAATTACCAGAACCCTGTCTGTTGTAATTTTTTCATACATGACGTGTGAGTGTATCAAAGCCTCTTCTAATGGTCAGGCCTGTGCTTACAGGTCACCTTACATCCAAGTAGTCTGCACAAACTCATAGAAAACCTTGAGATTTCTAAAATTATAAATATTCTTGTGAAATTGGACACACCATCATACTACATAGCCATCTGGGTGTGATTTATTATCCAGCTCCTAATTTTCCAATTATGAAACTGTTGTGACACTGCCAAGGCTGGTCAGGCATGTGCTATGGCCTAGTAGGAGCATAAACCTCACAATGACTGTAAGGAGGTCCCAGGTACCAATAACAAAAGAGGCAATAATAAGAAACAATTGCTCTGGTTTTGGATAATATGTTTTTAAAACCTTAAAATGTTCATGCAAGATGTAATCCACTTTAATCTCTTCTTACTGTTTCCAAAATTGTGACACTTCTGGAGTGAGGCAGGCTCAGTGACAGAAAAATAAACATGCACTTTTGAAACATATTTTGAATCGTTACAAAACTCCTATGGTAGCTTCAGGGGTAGAGTTAATTTTCTTCACGGTGGCTATCAGGAGACTGTGTTTTGGATTTGTGCTGAACACAGTGGTGATAATAGCTGTTTTTGTTGTTGCTGATCAGGGCTTTCACAGAGCCAAGGCCTTTTCTGCATTCATACTGACACACTGGCAGTGGAGCTGAGGGTGCATGGGAGGTTGGGAGGAGACACAGCCAGAACAGGTGACCCAAACTGACCAAGGGATATTCCACACCACATCAAATCATGCTCAATATATAAAGTGGGGGGAAAAAGGGGGAGGGGGTGGAGATTTTGGAGTGATGGCATTTGACTTTCCAAGTCACCTTTACATGTGATGGGGCTCTGCTCTCTTGGAGATGGCTGAACAGCTGCCTGCCCCTGGGAGGCAGCGACTTAATGCCTTGTTTTGCTTCACTTTTGTGCACAGCTTTTGTCTTCCTTATTATTGTCTTTATCTCAACCCAAGAGCCTTCCAGGTTTTACCCTTCCAATTCTCTCCCTAATCACTCTGGCTGGGCGGTGACCAAATGGCTGAGTGAGGCTTGGTTTCTGCCTGGGGTTAAACCATAACAATCCCCTAATATGATTTTTGGTTTTGATTGAGGAAGAGTTATGAAGAACCTGTTCCAGTTTATTTTCCCATGTTTTAATATTACAGTTGGAATTATTTCATTTAATGTTCTTCAGGAACGTACATTGCTCTCCAGAATTTCACTGTGTATAGGAGTGAGTTTTCTGAATGCCCCCTCCTAGCAAGCTGGTTATGAGAGCTAGTGCATCACATCAGTGTTTTTGAATATTCCCTTCAGTTTGATGAATCTTCCTTTCCAGCTTTTCTTCAGGGAGTCCAAAGCCAAATATGAAATTCAATTCTGTTGTTTATGGTCTATGCAATCGGAATATTGTCATTTTCTTCTGCTTCCAAATGGATCAAAAGCACGTGTATGGATAGAGTCCCTTTGGAAAAGCCTCAATGTGATGTCAAAGAACACTGAAAGTGCCACCCAACAGCCCAGTGTTGTATCTGAATTCCAATTTCTTCCACATAAAAAAGGACACAGTTTGAATATTCTTAGAATAAGTAGCTGACATAGCACTGTCACAAGAAGTGGTTGTTTTAAATTGTGCTAACTGTAACATGGAGTGTCTATACTGTCTTGTATATCCACACAGACTTTCTGCTGCAATGCTGTCTTTTTCTGTCTGAGTTCATTTGAATCACTGTCATTATGTTAGCTTCCATAAAAAAATGTTCTTTTTCTACAAACGAAATCAGAAAAACTAATGGAATTCCATGGAAAGCTTAATGGACTTTCTCCTTTTAAAAAGAAGACCACACAGTTTAAACTTCATGCTCACTTGTGTGAAAGCATTACCATTTGACTTTTTTAGATTTTAAAACCTGTAACAACTCCACAGTTTCCAGCTTAAATAGTTCTCTGTTGCTTCACATTTTGTAGATTTTTTAGTTACCAAAAAAGTAAAGAAATTAACAAATTACTAAAACTCATATTTGTAGCAGAGAAAAGTATAAGAAGATTGAAAAGAGTTTGAATACAGTTTTGCAACACGGATATACCTTTTGTGGTAATGATTTTTGTAGTACTATAAAAAGTCACGAAGTGATAGTAAAAATATTCCCAGTGAAGAGAGATTTATGCAAATGTCAGCTGTGAACAGAGGGTGAATTTGGGGCAGAGCGATGTGAGTTCATGTCCATCTTATTTTCTTGTGAAGTAAGGGCTGATTGAAACCCTTGTCATGTAGTAATTGATTTTTACAGTGTCTCTCCTTATAGGTATTTAAAATAAGAGCAAACACCATGCTTATGTTCAACTCAGTCTTTTAACACATGGTTTAGAGAAGTATGAGACCCTTTCTGCTTTTATAAATCATCTCCATCATCTGTGCTAAAGCTGCTTCTTCTGCTGCTCTCTTTTGATGCAGCTGGAGATGTGGAGGACAAGAGTGGGTCTGTTCCAAATGGTGACACTGTGTCATCCAATAAAATTTCCTCTAGTCGTTGTTCTTCTTTTAAAGCTGCGCTGAAGGACAGATCTGTGAAGTGTGAAAGTGGATCAGAAAAGGCTGTGGATCCATCGCAGACATCAGAATTTTGTCCATGTACCAGAGGCATTGGCTGTGAATAGTCTACAGAGTTCTCCTCTGGGTAAGATTGTTGCTTGATGACCTGTGCAGCTAAATCCACAGCACTGAGCGAAGACATGACTGGAAGGCCGTGTGCACGTGCCTGGATCTCCAGTTCCTAACATTTCAAACAAAAATAATTGGACAACAATTTTAAAGGAGAAAACAGTCTCTTCAGAACAATTGCAGAAATATTCAAATCATGTATGAAAATTTATTATACCTGTAGCCCACTTGTGAGATTAAATTTTTAAATATTAATTTTTTTTATCTAAGAAAATTTGCCACTCAAGTGTTTTTCTATCCCTTTCTGTCATTAAGCAACTATTCTACAAGAACAGGAGAGGTAGGACAGCCTCTCTAAAACCATTGCATACTGAATCCAATGAAGGTAGCAGAAGAATGCTGCAACTCGATAGTTCATTATAAAGCTGCTATTCAATGAAAAAGAAGATGCTTTACTTGATAATGCTTATATTATACAGATATATGAGTAAATCAACATATGTAAGATGATCAGTTTTATGTTTACCTACCTATCTACCCATCCCATTTCCATAGGTGTATGTCAATACTAGGATCTTATTTTTCAAACCATGAAGGGTTATATTCTGCCTCTATGTCACAAGCAGATACAACATAAGACACTTTTACTGGGGAGTGTAATGCATTAAATAGTTTGAAAGGGAAAATTAAATTATTGAAGGGAACTTTGTGTCCAGTACTGATTTTTTGGCTGCAGGAATATACTTATTTCCTTATTATTTTTGTCTTTGCTTCTAACACATGCATCATGAAACTGTTTGTACAAATACTTCATTACTTTTCCACTACTTACCTTATGTAAGGTATAATTATCAAAGAAATTTCCTAGAAATCTAAAGAATACCCCCTCACCAATATATGCAGAAATAAATAGGAAAAGTCAATTTATTTTTAATAAAGGTCATTTGAGGAAAAATTATATAGATGAACAAATTTTGATGGGGGATAAGTACTGAGAAAGCTTTGTAGTTCATGGCAACACTTATACAAACCTGAACTCGGAGTAGAAGTCTTCTGTTAGCATGCTCTAATTTCTTCTGCCTGTGTTCTAATTCTCTGGCTCTCTGTTGTTCTTTTTGTAGCCACTTGATGTACTCTACCGATGCTTTTAAAATAGTTCCTTTGTTCCAGCGCATATCACTGCAGAATGTAGAGATAACCTTTTCACAATTGTGCATGTCAGCAGAATTCATAAGAACTTACAAAATCTTTTACATTAATATGAAATAATGATTTACATGACTATTATTCACTCTTAGATATTATTGCTTCTGAATGGAAATTTTAATAGAATAGTTAAGAAGCCCTTATATAGTAAAATTAATCCCAGAATGAAAATAAGTGTCAAAAGAAAGTAATAAAGTGACTTTTTGTGGGAGAGCTAAATGCAATATCATGATTCTACCATTACAGTTTTTATATTTTTAGTGAAAATTGCTTTTATTATTAACTCTAAGATTAAAATCTATGTGCAGTATTTCTGCATTAATGAACTAGGAAATATACATTACTGAGGACTTAAGCCTAAATTTTTAAAGATCATTTTGAATATACTACTCCTTTTACCTGACTTACTAATGAGGTTGCTTTTATGCTTGTAGAGAAAAAAAATGATCTGTGCTGAATGCCACTCCTCATTGATGACAGACCAGAAAAATCACACTTTTATAATCATAATGACTAGGGAATGACAAAAATCATGTTCAAAAATCTTGAAACAATATTAAAAAAACAAGTTAAAATCTACAGCTACATGCAGACCCCAACTAAAAAAAAAAAAAGCTTTGCAAAGAAATGAGATTAAACCTGCCTATCATTCAGGAAATCATGGTTTGACTTCCAGCTTACAAACAGCCTTACTAGCAACAAAATACTTGTCCAGATGTAATTGTGCAAAGACTTTCCATGTATCCATTTATCAAATTTTCATGCATTCCTTTAAGTAAGGTCTTGGAACAAGAAAGAATATTACTAAAAATATTTTATTTCTAATAAATTTCAGAATTATATGATACAGGATGAGTTCACTGCACTAAATATACAGATATATGGGCTTTATCCAAACTATTTACTTCACTGCAAGACTGGTTAGGCTGAGTGGGTGGTTAGCCAAGCTTCTGGTCCCAAACACAACTATGAGAAAGAAAAGCTGTTAAAACAAGAATCTGATGCTGGGAGAAACAAGCATTTTTTTCAATACCTATTCCAAAGACAGATATTTACATGCCATTATTTATGGAGTGAAAAAAAAAATATAAATTATATGCCTGACTATTATCACTTTCCCTTATTCATAGAATCATAGAACATGCTGAGTTGGAAAGCACCCATCACAATTAGTGAGTCCAACTCCTGGCCTTGTACAGGACATCTCAAGGATCACACCATGGGCCTGGGAGCATTGTTCAAACAGTCCTTGAGCTCTGCTAGGCATGGTGCTATGACCACTTCTCTGAAGAACCTGTTTCCAGGGCTCAGCTACCCACTGTGTGAAAACCTTTTCCTTATATCCAGCCTAAAGCTCCCGTGACTCAGCCTCACGTCATTTCCTTGAGTCCTGTTGCTGGTCACGAGGGTGAAGAGATTGTACTTGCCCTTCCATTTCTCCTCATTAGGCTAAGCACACTTAGAGATTTCTTTTTCTTCTGAATGTACAGTGCAAAAGCCATGCAGGTACAGGATTTAGGGATCCAGACCACCCAGCTTTTCCTGATGCTTTAATAGGGATAAAATCTAACAGAGCTGATAACTTAAAGACACTAAGAAGAATACACAAAATTATTTTTTATAAAGCATCACAGTGTTTAACCATACTGCAGGCCAGAAATGCACAGCTTTTGGGATTAGAAGGTAAGGAGGTCAGAGAGAAATTAATTATTATCTACAAGCCTGCTGTCTACAAAGCCAAAACATCTTTGGGTATGTATTCTGATTTAGACATTGCCTGGTCAAAAAAGGTAGAGCAGAGGTGCGACTAGGAGCCAAGAACAGGATAAATCTCCCCCACGTTGGCTGAACCATCTCTTGGCAGCTCCTCTGCCTTCTCCTTCCTGCACCTCTTGAGCAGGTGGGAGGACAGAATTTCTTGCCAGCATCCCATGGGCGGGCACCCTCCTAGGAGAGGACTTTGTTCTCTCAAATGGCTTAACTATGTTCAAACTGTAAAGGTTAAGGAAACTTTTAGTACACATATTTTCTGGACAAGTCTTTGACCGCCATCACCATGCCACAATTTCATTTTTGTCACACTCCTTTGGAAAGTTAGGTAAAATACTGAGAGGTCCCTGTTTATGACTAAATTGCAGTGGAGTTTGAAAGACAGTGAAGTTTCTGTCTGCCTATGCCAGACCACTCATGAATAAAGAAGCTAAATAAATAAATAAAGTTATCAGGACAAGAACTTTTCAAACTGGGACTCTCCACTGCCATCTCAGATATGAGCTTTATGTGCTATATGGAGAAACACAATCTACCTCGACAAGAAAGTTAGTCTCTAATAAATACTAAAAACAAAACTAAGCTTTGAACTGATGGTCTGAACCTAAAGATATAATACTATGAAATTAAAAACAAAACCATAACTGGAAAACGGAAATAATTGAGTAAATGTAACAGCAGCAGAAAAATTTCACTATATCACGTATTTAGAAAATATTTTATAGTGTTTTCACCAAAAAAATTCATGTCAGTTATGATATTTTACTAATTTAAAATCAGAAAAAACATAATTTTGGTTGATTTTTCTGATTGACATATGAATAATTCATATATTCATAACTGTATTTGAAATATCTTTTTTATTAAATTCATTCCTCTTACACTTAATTGTTACACTGAAGATCACCTTGTGATATGGCTTTCTTTAAGTTCATGTTTCCTAGATAGTTTTAGTTTTTATTTCTATGGTAATGATTTTTATTTCATAGTTTTAAATAAATCTTCACTGAAAGACTAATTCCTATATTCAAACTGCCGGAGAGATGGACCTGGTCAGCTTTTGCATGAGGTACATATTGATAGATATCTCTTGTAATATTTACAGATCTGAGAGGCAAAACTCTAATGGAGAGCTAGGACAAAAAGGCAGTGGTTACTCTTGTTGTTTAAGAGGCTGCTCTTTAACCTGTGTACATATGTGTGTGTGTGTGTCTGTGCATGTGTGTGCATCCCACATATGGCTTCTACATCACTTCCCACATGTACACATACTTCTTGGTGTCCTATTAAACAAGGAATATTGAAGTTAAACCTCCCCATGCCTGAAGGCAACATGGCAAAGGAACAGCTGATGGCCTTAAAAGTCAACGTGTTTCACTTTGTGTCTCTCTTTCCCAGGATCTAACCAAAACACTGGGGGTGTCTGTGCTGATTGTGCATCCCCAGCACTCTCCATCCATTGTAGCCCAGAGCAGCACACAGCAGCCACAGGACAGGGATGCACAGGAACCCTGCTCTGTGCAGATGCACAGGGCTGGAAGAGCACCACTGCAGCTGGTGAGGATGAAGGCAAATTTGGGCTGGTGAAAGTGAGATTCCTGCATACCAATTGTCTGAAATGCATCTAGATCTACATATCAGGCAGGCAAGCAGATTCATCAATGATGGGAAGAAAAAAACAACTCGGCATTTGAAAATTGATTAACGAGAAGCACGAGAAGCACCAATTTCTGAATAAGAATTCAGAAATTCTCTGATCAGTTATTTTGTTTCCGTTATTTCTCTGAAAACAATAAATTCTAGATAAAATGACCTGAAAAGTTATAAAAATATCACTAGTAAATTGTAGTTTCCACTTTTTAGAGATTTGTGGATTGTGCTTAGAAATAAAAACTGAAATAAAAAGGCCTACAAACACATTTTTAGAACCTTTAAAAACTGAGGAATCATTAGCAGTTGTTCCTCATTTAATTTGAAGCTTCTGTATAAAAACAGACAAAATACTTGCACTCTCAACTGTTTTGATGCTAAAAATTTAGATATAGACCTGCTGATGTTCAGATATGGCAGGAATTCTTTTCTTCATTTTGATCTTTCAATTCTATAAATTTGCTTTGCTTTTTTTTTTATATTTTTATTTTGCTTTTGTTTTTCTTAGTCTTTATTTTTAATAAATGCATGCATGGCCCCAGCCTGTAAATACTGAAATACATGGGAAATTCTACATTCAAGCCAAGCCATTTGAGAGCAGTAAGGTGTTTTGTAGGTCTGTTCATCAGAAATGGCCTCTGCAAAGGAGGATTGCTTCTTTTTTCCTGTATGTCCATGTGGTGGAGAAATTTGAAGTTTCTAGCAAGCTACAGATGTGTTAGAGAGTTTAATTAACAGAGGTTTAACAAAAATAACAAGATTTGTATGGAAAATTAAAAAAAAAAGTAAAAAACACATTAGTCTCTGAATCTTGTCTCCTCCTAACTTTAACATCTGATTCTGTTTGCAAAACTCAAATGCCCAGAACAAAGCATGTAACTCTCACCAAGTAGAGTTTCCCACTTCGGAGAAACAAAAAATAGAAAAGAGACTTCAGCTCATTTCTATTAATTTAACTTTGTTGAAGTCAAAGAAGCTTCATTAGCTTACAGAAGTCAAACTCCTGTAGGAAGGATAGGAGCATCTGATCAGCTAAGATTAGAACTAATTAATAAAAGCAGTGTTAGAAAGAGTGTGATAGTGACAGAGTTTGCAAGACACAGATCAGTTACCAATAACAAACCATTTGCAAAGTTAAAACTGTGTTTGCAGAACATTTCTTTCCCTATTTCTGAGAAATTAGCTTTAAACTAAAGAAATCTGCTCAAAGAAGTACCTGGAAGGACTTTGTACTTGTTTTGAGGATTTGCACCATTGCCAAGTGTATTATTCTGAAAGAGGCAGCAAGTTTCCACTCTATACCAGCATGAGTGTACACAGTTTTTCCTTTGCAAGAAGTGTGTCTGTGCTGGCTGCTAGAGGGTCTGTCCACAGAGGTCAGGCACAGATAGATGCAGAGAGTAGAAAGGAGAGAGTGAGAACAACCCACTGCTTCTGCCCAAATCCTCAGCAGTTCTCTTAACATTCCAGTTCTGTAAAACTACTAGAATTCTTGAAGAAAAGGGCTTTTTCTCGCTGAGCTTTCTGGCAATTTAAGCCCAACTACCATTAAACTGTTCTTGTGTAGGCATTGCCAGACTCCATCACAATAAGAAATCCTGTTAGCCACCTAAAAGGTGGATTCTAAAAGGTTGAACACAAATGGAAAGGCGGGTATAATTAAAGGAGCAGGTTATGAGTTTTTCAGCAAAAAGGACTGAGTATTTCTGGCATTTTTAAAATTCTATTTTTGAATTATTCTGTAAAACTGATTTGCATTTCTGAATCATCTAGCACTTGGATATCTAAGCATTGAAAATTAAACAAAAGAGTCATAGTTCTTTGTAACTTATCTTCATTTTCTAATGCTGATGAAGTGAACTTAAAACACCCATTCATTTATGTAATGTAATCCACACTTTTCATCATTAAATTAGAAAAAAAAAATAAAAAATGGAAAGAATAGGGCTTTAATCCAGTCAAAAGAAAGTCCCTGCAGAAGCTCTGCAGGAGCCAAACAAGTTCACCATATAACCAACAAAACAAAAGTGAAATAAAAACCCCACACAGCTCTTCTAAGAAATATAAATCACAAAAGGTTTTCAAGTGGCATAAAAAATGTCCTTTTTCTTTTTCTTATTCTGAATGTAATCTTTTTGAAGCAAGCCATCTGGGACAGGCATGCTAACCACAATGGCTTAGTTATAGTAGTATTTGCTCTTCAATGCAGAGGCTGATTTTGTTCACTGTCATTAGACTAAGTATCAGGAAGCTTTCTCCTTTTACATCCAAGTTTCCACTATAAGACGAATCTTCTAACATCAATATGAGGCAAAAATGCTATGTGTGATAAAAATGTTACAGATAAAGTATTGTAAGCCATGATAAATCTCTTTCTTTCAAAGAAGACAGGGCAGACTGGGGGCACAGTAAGGTGTTATGAAGTAAAAAGCAGGAACTGAAAGAAAGAATAAGGATGCTGAGTTATGATTTGTCAAAACAAGACCATATCAAAAGGTAATAATAATTTTGATCTCCTCAGCCAACAAAACAATACGTTCAAATTAATATTTTCCACCTAAAAATACAAATTCTTTTAAAAAGTGCTTATACTTCTTTGAATTAATTTATCTTTTCACTAAGCTATACCTCAATTATGTTGCAACCTGTTTTTTCAAAAGCCCTGCATGTTTTGATGCCTTTTTTTCCTTAGCACCAACTTAAAAGCTTTTCAGTAGGCCTGCTTTCCAAAGGAGTACTGATTATCAGCCTTTTGAAGGCAGCAGTCTTCAGAATGTGAGGTACTTAAGTTCACCTTGGTCTTTTGTAAACATAAACCACTCTGGGTCTGGTCACGGGGCTGAACTCAGTCACGGCTTTGCAAACTAAAACAAGATAAGGCAGTGATTTCAGAATCTATACCCAAAACATTTTCATCAGGCAACACCAAAAACTGAGGGTGAAGTCTGTCATCCACTTACTGGAGCAGAACTGCAGGTTCAGGTAAATCATTTTAAGAACAGCTTAAATGATTACTCTAGGTACTAATATTTTGATTGAGTTCACAAAGTCAATCTGAATCCAGACCAAAACATGTAAGTGAAACACTTTTATAGGCAATCAAAAAGTGCAGCTGGAATTTGTGCCCCATGCCCGTCTCTAATTGCAGCATAACCAGTTCCTATTTTTGCTTTATAGCTGCAAACCAACAGTGCCATCCACTGTTTTTCTGAGAAATCTTTCAATTACTTGCCCAAATGGCATGAATACTGAAAGATGCACAACAAAATTAAAACACTTCTATCAGTTTCTGCTTGCATCACATGTCTAAAACTTTATTTAGGTCCTTAAAGCACTTTTTATTCTAATTCAGCTTTAACACCTAATTCCATATTAATAATAAAAAACATGCCCATTTATCCAATCTTTGGTGGATGCTACAGAAGGAACTGAGTTTGTGAATTCTCTAAAATGGATGCAGTATGTTAACTTTCTGATGGCCTCACTTCAGGTAAAGTCAACCTTCTAGTTACGTTAAGTCTCACACAGCTTTTTATTGTTGCAGAAATCCTTAAAGTAATCAAAAGTTTCTTAGTCCTAAGGTTAAAAAAGCTGAAATATCAATAGATGTTTTAATTTGAAGTATCATGCACATCTGTATTGACATGCAAATGATAAAGACAAAATCTTTATAATCAATTTTATGCAAGTCACAATCATGCTGGTGCATTGTATTAAGTCTTCCCTAAGTGACGAGAGAAATCCAAGGCTAAAGTTCTGCATTAAAAATCACTCTGAATTGTTATTGTTAATCTTGCAATGGGCTTTTCTACAAGGCAGCTTTTTTCCTGTTGATGACAAATATAAGCTTTAAGGGAATGCACATATAGTTCAAGCAATATGCATTTTTTGTTTCTGTAAGTATATGCATTAGTATAAAATGATATTATTATAGCAATTATAGCAATTATTACTTTTATCCTTGCATTCTAGGACTGGTGCTTTCCCTGCACTAAATTGAATACTTTTGAAAAATGCTCAGTCTACAGACTCTTAAACTGATTTTATTTTTCTCTTCATCAAAGGGCAGATAGTGACAACGTAAACTTCGTGTTATCCCACTAGAGGGCCATGGCAAGAGCTGAAAACATCACTACTTCCTTCTCCAGAGACACCACACAATTGTGCTCAGAGACAGAGAGATGGACTTTCTGTTGTTTGGCTTGTCTTTTTTTTTCATTTTCTTTTTTGTTTGTTTGTTTGTTTGTTTGTTTGTTTTCCCTTGATGTGGAAGTCTCTCTTAAGCATCCTGAAATTTCTTTCATATTATTATGCTTTCACATAAGTTTTTCCAGCAGGCACAAAAAAATCTGTCAAGAGTTTTTTTACTTCACCAGCCTGATCTGAGCCAGTGACCTGGCATGGAAGATTTTGTATCCCATTACTCAATCCCATAGGCAGTATACACATATATATGTGTCTTTTATCCTGTCTCTTTTATCCTGTATTAATACTATAAACATTATTGTTAGAAAGACAGTTGAACTCACGGATCATTAGACTTGGGGATGAGTGTGCCAAGCTCCTTGATTCGGTAATTAATATTATACCTTCTTCTTCTCTCAACTGTTAAAAAGAAACAGTTACTATTTTTATGGTGAAATATTTTTGGAGAAATTCAACATAAAACATTTTAATTAATTAAAAGCATGTTAGTCAATATACAGAAAACAACCTTCCTCAAATACCAGTCCAAACACAAGCTCCTATCTGTCTCTGATTTGCTCTCAGGACAAACTCTACCATTAGTACTGTCTGTTATCTTACCTTAACTATAGGGTTTTCCTCCATTTACAATTAGATTTCTAGAAAATTAAATAGTCATATATTGTCTAAATGTGAGCTAACATTTTTTTTAGTGATGTTTATATATTCTTTCTCCACCATGCTCCCACAGAACAGAAATTTCAGCTTCATGGAGTCTTGCTGGTGACTTCAACAAGGATACAAGACAATTCATCCAACAATTGATAATTTGGCAGAACTCCTGTTACAGATCACAAAGTAACAGCTTCACTATCCCTTATTTACAATCACCAGCATTTAAATCCACAGAGCAACTACAACCATATTCCCTCAGAGAAACAGAGCAAGATTATGTCCCAAAAGCGCTTCATCCCCTGGAAGTCTGTTTCTTTTGGTGATGGACAGCACAAAAAATATTTATGGTAATTTTTAAAACGGAGAAAATGGAAAAAACCCAGCATGGCTTAAGCAATCAAATATATTTTCTGGATTTAAATTTATGGTTCTCCTAGGACAAGCTATGTAGGGTGTCTTGGTTCACTTTGTAGTTTAGTTAGAAGGAAAAAAGAGAAAATAAATCTCTTAAAATTAGTACCCTTTCTATTTGCTCTCAGTTCACTTTATCAGCATTGTACTGGTATACAGGCTGATGTATGTCAGAAACTTCACACTTTTCTAGTGGACAGGTGCAGAGGATATCTCATTTCTCTGGGGAATTACTTGTATATAATTTTGACCCAGAAAGTGTATTCAGTGAGAATGTAGTCCCATTAGGGTACTGCTGGGTGTCAGAAAACAGCAGTCTCTACTGGTGTTCTTCTGGTGTGAGCTCACAATTTGTTCTCTGCCTCCACTTTAATTCAATCCAAATCTCACTGAATAAGCAGGATTCAGACTTTCTCCATCACTAAAATCACACTGAGCTCTGCCTCTTGTCCTTTGCACCTTGGAAGACCTTACCGTGGGCTCAATATGCTCATGCCACTGTACTGTCAGACCAGCCCTGGCCAGCCTAGAACATGAGCAGAATGAATGTATGTTCTGTGTTTGGAGATGTCCACTTAAAGTCTAATGGCCCAATTTTGAATATAAATACAAAAAGCCCAGTAGAGCTAAGTTATAAGTGTCCAGACAATCCTTGTGAGTCTTCCAAGGCTGACTTCAATCTTCTCATAGACGTATGAGCATGCCACTTCCAGTCTCAGCCCCACAACCTGGATGACTTTTAGTGCTCTTCTTCCTGTACATGAAATGGTTTGCTTCCTCTCTGTGTGAGGCTCTAAGGTTTGTGCAGCAGTCAGTTATTTCCTCCCTAGCAGATTCAAGCTCCAGGAACAACCTGAGTATTACTATTTACTCTGATAAAGTACTCTACCTTGGTGGGTTATATTGTCTTGTCTTGCTTTCTGTAGAAACAGGAATTTCACTTAACAAATTAAAGCATCTCAGGTTTTTTGGTGATGAGTCACATATTCAGAAGACAGTGTTGTAATCCTCCTGAGTGTACTGTTTAGTGAACCCCAACATCACATTGGAATGAATTTTAAAAATATAAAAAACATAACAACTGAAAAATTTTAAAAATATATTTCAGTTGTGTTGGAAAAATGGCAATGCAAACAAAATTGAAGAATATGCTTTAATTATACTGCTATGGTGTAATAGCTGTTGTTTAATTAATATTTACACTGTGGAAAACTCAGTAAGATATTCATCAAGAAGTAGTCAACTTATCATTAGCTGTAAAACAAGGCAAAGAAAAAAAGATCCTTACAAGTCAACACTTACAGAATCCTTTTTTCTTTATATTTTTGCATTTTTTCCTGAAAAGAAACTTCCAGTGGTCATGTCAATGAGTTAGGTGTGGAGATTTTTAAGCTTGGAAACATGTTGCAATAAAACTTTCCTGATGTATGTCTGTAACCTTTCCAGACATATCCTGAGTTATCAGTAATATTTCAAGCATCAAATTTTACATAAGCCAAATCAGAAAATTATTTTTTTCAAAATGCATGGAC